CCACCCCTCTCAGAGAGCCCGACAAGCTACCAAGAGTATTGCGCCTACATGGCAAAGCCTGGCAAGCTACCCGTGATGTATTCTATATGCAAAAAACAGTAACAAGTCTCACAATGGAGATGTTACTGGTGCCCGGTTGAGCAATTCTATGAACAATGGGAGGACAGTGCTACAGTGCTGCTACATAAATATATATATATATATATAAATATTTTTAAACCCTCTCAATTAAGTTTGAAATTAGATATTCCCACTCACCTGGTGGCAGGCAGTGCCCAGGTGTGCTCTGGATGGCTCAGCAGCCCAGGCATCACCTACACTGGCCCCAAGTCCTAAGCCCCACGGCCAGGCTGGACCCTTGAGCACCTTCTCAGGAACACAAGTCAGGAGGACAAGCTCCACGCCACATACTCCCTGTCAGAATAGGTATCTCCAGGGATGATCGCGGCGGCCGTACAGGGGCCTGCATTTTCTGGTGTCCAGCTTGTACCCACGCTGGCTGAGGCAGCTTAGTTTTACTCCATCCTCATGCAGCTGAGAGGCCGGTGTCCTGGGCTCATCCCCAGCACCCTTTAGAGTGGCCAGACACCAGGAAGCAGGGGGAGAGGCTGGGTCGAGCTCAGTGTCCTTCAGCCCTCCACACTGCGCACTGCCCTGTCCAGCATGTCCACAGGCCAATAAACCTGCCTCTAGCCAGGCGGCATACCAGGGGCTTCCAACCTCCTCGCCTGCCCCAGGCCTGGTCCATGGACCCAGGATTGAAGACCACTGCTCTACACTGCCACTGCCCACCAACTAGGCAGTTGAAGTTGCCCGAGTTTGGGATGTACACACACACACACACACCCCTCAGATCCTCGGGTGAGGAGGGAGACAGCAGTGCCCACTGACAGCCAGCTGTGGGTCCCCCTGGCCTCTGCAGGGAGAGGCCATCATGGGCAAGAGACCCCGTGAACCTGCTTCTAGAGACCTGACAAAGGGGAGCAAATGGGGTGGGGAGAGAGTTCATGCTGTGACTGGTGATGGGGAGAAACTTCCCAGCAGTGCCTAAGGGTCTCCAGGCCACACCCCACAATTCTCAGCCAGTCAGGCTGACAGCTCCATGTAAGGACCCAAGAACAAAGGCCCTGTGGTGCCAGGGATCCCCTGGTGGTGCTGGGGGTGGAGGGCGGGGCTTCACAGCCACAACCAGCAGAGCTGGGGGTGGGAGCCATGAAGGGCCAGAATGAGCCACATACCAGGTATGTGCCCTAACCGCTGCACCACCCCCGGCAGTGTCCAGTTGTCTGGGCCGCCAAGCCAGGCAGTGGCCAGGTGGTGGCCAGGATGTGGCCTAATGGCCAGGACAGGCGATGGCCAGGCAGCCGGGCTGCCAGGCCAGACTGTGGCCAGATCTCTGCGGACACAGTCCGAGAGAGAGCAGAGAAACCCAAGAAAGCTTGGAGGAATCAACCAAGGGGCCTGGGCAGGAGCATTCAGAGAGGAGAGTGGGGAGCCTGGTGGCATCCAAACAGAAAGTTCCAGGCCGGAGTTATAGTACCATGGGGAGGGTGCCTGCCACGCTCGCGGCCAGCCCAGGCTTGATCCCCAGCACCCCACCTGGTTCACTGAGCACCGACAGGAGTGATCCCTGAGCACAGAGCCAGGAGTAAGCCCTGAGCACCAGACCCTTCCCCAAAACAAAACAACAAAAAATGAGAGTTCTGAGCATGCTTGGAGGCAGAGGAGGTGGTCCAGGGGCCCCACGGCATGATGGTTACGGCACTGCTGCCCACTTTCAGGATGCAGAGCTGATCTCCACATTCCCTGGGCATCCTCCCAAGAATGACAGTACCTGAGTGGGGACCCACAGGTCCCTGGGGAGCTGGCCTGTCTCCTGGTTCTGCATCCGGACAAGCACAGCTGACCAGAAGCTCCAAGAGGCCTTTGGGCGTGTCCGCATCCCCAGTACCTAGCACAGGTGTGGCCCTACATGAGTATCCGATACATCATCACTGTCTGATGACATTCAGGGTCACCCCCAGGGTCCTAGAACCAGGCAAGCAGGGAAGTTCTGGGACTCTGCGGCCCTGGGTCCTGGCAGGCAGTGTGGTGGCTGTGGCCACGCTGATCTGAGCATCCCCTTCCTTGGTTGAGCACCAAGGCTCGCGTCTGCCCACTTAGACCTTGGGTCAGGGGGTTGGCACAAGGGAAGACACAGTGATGCTGTTACTGAGGGGAATCGCTTATCTTCAAACAAGAATTTCATCCTAGTGGGCTGGGGGCAGGGGGTCTTTCTGAGTGAGTGCATAGCTCTCTGGTACTAGGAGCTGTTAGGCTGGGCGAGTCTTCATGGAGCCCTGTGTGGTCTTGAGCAACTGGTCCAAAGGTGGGCGTGTCTCGTGTGCCTTTTATGGGCTCCCCTGCCCTGCACAGGCAGGCTGGCCTCAGCTTCCCCCTGCCTACAGGTGTGTCTTCTCTGGAGACAGGACAGTGCTGCTGTGGGGGCGACTTGCGGGCACCTATTGTTCAGGCTGGTGCCCTTGATGTTTATCATTAGAGCAGGGCCTGAGAGTGTTTTGCAATGGGCAGCCGGTGGGCATTCCCCTTGGTGGCTGGGAAATGGCAGAACAACTTTGGGTGGACAGTCTCGGGTGGGGGGGGCAAATCCTCGGGATGCTTAACAGTGGGCAAGTCACTGGATGCCCTCAGGCCTGGTTCTGCATCCGAACTAGCACACCTGGCCAGAAGCTGCTGGGTGTGTCCCCTGTCTGGACAGTGGGCACCTCCTTGCCTAGAAGCCCCCGGGACAATGACGACAGGAGACATGCAGAGACGGTGCTCAGAGGACCTGACACCCAAGTGCAGGACATCGTAGCTACTTTAATAGCGAGTCGTGTCTATGGCTTAGATCCACACGCCACCAAGCCCACCCAGAGCAGAGAGAATGTCCAGACACCAGAGGTCACTGTACAGCCTCAAGTGACAACAAGGACGAATACACCCAGGGCAATGGCAGGAAGTTGTCCTAAAACACACACAGACCGCCCCCCCCCCCCACTGAACCAGTCCCATGGGCAGGAAGCACCACTCTCCCACCCACCACTGTCATGGGCCAGACCAGCAGGTTCCCTGTCCACTGTGACAGACAGGGTCCTGGTGGGGTCAGACGCCATGACAGCAGCTACTGGAGCAAGACCCCAGGTCCCAACACCACTCCATCTGGAACCCGGTGACCCAGCGGGCTCTGGAAGTAGGTTCTGTCCACAGCGGGCCTCACCCTGGAGTGCCCTGGCCCCATCACTTCCTAGTTCTATTTCCTAACCTGGGACGAAACAGTTTCTATGTGTCTCAGACATGCCATGATCTCAAGAACTAGGCTCAAGAGTACTAGACAAGTGGCCAGAAGCAGAACTCAACTGGAATCTCTCCTGGCAGAACTCAGCAGAGCCCAGGAAAGCATGACCATGCAAGGGCCCTGACTGGCCACCTCCTGGGGCTGTGACTGTCTCCTCAGCTACTTGCACGGACAGTTTTCCTGAACAGGACCAAAGGTGAAAGATCACCCTGAACACGGTAGTTCCTGCTCCACACATGACCCCCAGAAATACAAGGCAAGAAGAGTCTTGGCCAGAAAGCAGCCCTGGGTCAGGAGTCCTAAGTCCCCACAGGCATGAGCTCTCTGGTACGTCTGGCTGGGCTGGGGGTCTGCTTGTGAAAGTGGGTGATGGAGGGAAGGTTTGCGCCTGGGGTGCTGTCAGGGTCCTCATCCTCGGACTCCCAGCATGAGGGGCCAAGTCTGCTGATGGCTGCAACCCATCCCCCCACCCCCCAGGTGACAGACATTGATTTGCCACCAGGTCTTGCAAAAGCCCAACCCCAGACCAGAGCAGAACTGGCTGGTGGGGAAATGGAAGGAAGGAAGGAGGGAAGGAGGGAAGGAGGGAATAAAGGAAGGAAGGAAGGAAGGAAGGAAGGAAGGAAGGAAGGAAGGAAGGAAAGGAGGGAGGGAGGGAGTGGGTGGTAGGGATGGTCAGAGGAAACAAGGAGGCAGGCAGAGGATGGAGGCGGAAATCTCTCCAGCGCTGAGATTCCATGAAACTCAAGTTCTAAGGCAATTCTCCAAGGAAGTCTCACAGGCACGGCCCACACACGTCCTGGGGGAGCCAGCTCCAGGAAGCACATGGAATGGCTTTCAGATGAGAAGTGACACGTTCGCCCCTTTCTGCCCAGACTCCAGGGGCTGAGCCATGCAGGAAGGGCAGCCCTTAGGCCCCAAACCCAAGCTGACCCTCCCTCCCTCTCCCCCCAAACCAGCCACTGGGAGCCTGGCGGTTTCTGATACAGCAGTATGACGGAGCAAGATCCTGCGGCAGTCAGAGGAACGGATCTTATAAATAACTCCTGGTCCAAACAGAGCTGAAAACACTTGAGACAGGAGAGGAAGCAGCACAATTGTGAAGCACTTAACTGAGTCGATAACACTGGCTCAAAAACCTCCGTGCAAATGGCTGACTTGGTGTATCTCCTTCTCACCCCAGTCATGAGTGTGTGTGTGTGTGTGTGTGTGTGTGTGTGTGTGTGTGTGTGTGTTGGGGGTAGCGGGGGATGCTCAGCAGAGAGCTGGGCACACGGCCTTGCTCTCAATGTCCCAGTGTCTTTCAGCTCATGGTTAAGTCTCTGTTCCTCATGTAGCCACTGTTTTTATCGTGCCTGAGGGTTGGCCTCCAAGCGCTGAATTTCAAGAATGGAAATCCACCTACGGGGGCTGGTGGGGGGCGGTCCTTGGTATGAAAGCCAGGATCCGCAGAATCTAAAGTCCACCTAGACTCCCTGCCGCCATGCCCCTCGGCGCCCCCTCTTCTCCCTTCTCTTCGAAGCCATGCCAGCTCATGTTTGTGCTCTTGCAGACGCTAACGTGAAGTGGAAATGTGCTTTGGGACCGGACAATTGCCAGAAATGGGGGGAGGGGAGAACCACCGGGTTGGAGGGAGAGGGAAATCCCCAACAGCACATTCGTCTGTGGGCAGGACACGAGCTCAAGGTGTGGGGCAGAGTCAGCCCCTCCGAGCCAGCAGGGGCATGAACAGCCCGCCCCCACCCCCGCCCCCACGGCGGCCTCAGCAGCAGTTACAGGTGCCCGTGTGCACGCGCAGGATGCCGCGGCTGTGCAGGTGCAGGAAGTTGAAGATCTCCGAGGGCATGGCGTGGAAGCCGGGCCGCGGCTTGACGTTGTCGTAGTAGTGGTGGGTGATGTAGAGGCCCGCGGGGTTCATGGGGAAGGCCCAGAAGCCGAAGAGGTGCACCTCCTCGCAGAGCTCCAGCGCGGCGGTGGCCAGGATGAGGCCAGTGCTGATGCGCTTGGCGCGCACGCCCAGCGTGAGCCAGTAGCGGGACACGTTGAGCAGGTACTGCGGGTGGAAGTAGTAGACGGCCTGCGGCGCCTGGAAGTCGTCCAGCACGTACTTGACGCGGATGGACACGTCGGTGTTGCGAGTGTTGTAGAAGGCTGGCAGCAGCACCGACGCATTCTCGTACACCTGCAGCACGCGGTAGAAGGGCCGCCGCCACTTCTCCAGCTTGTGGAACCTGGTGGGGGGCGCAGGGCCAGAGGGCTGACTCAGGGCGGTCATGGAGTCAGGGAGGATTCAGGGCGCCCACGGGGAGAGGGGAGGACTCAGGGTGCTCATAGAAGTGGAGAGGACTCAGAGCGCTCACGGGAGGGGACAGGGACTCAGCGCTCAGGGGGCAGGGAGGACTCAGGACGCTAATGGGGGAGGCAGGGAGGACTCAGGGCACTGACAGGGAGGGGAGGACTCCGCCCTAATGGGAGGAGGAACTCAGGGCACTCATGGGGGCAGGAGAGGACTCAGGGCACTCACATGGGGGGAGCTCAGGGTGCTCAGGAGGAAGAGAGGACTCAGGGCACTCATGTGGGGCATGGAGGACTCAGGGTGCACATTGGGAGGACTCAAGGCACTCATAGAGGGTGGGGAGGACTCACGGTGCTCACAGGGAGGACTCGGGGCCCTCATGGGGAGGACTCAGGAAGCTCATGGGGAGGACTCAGGGCGCTACGGGGTAGGGGAGGACTCGGCGCTCACAGGGTCTGGGAGGACTCAAGGCACTCATGAAGGGTGAGGAGGACTCAGGGTGCTCATGGAGGGTGGGGAGGACTCAGGGAGCTCATGGAGAGGACTCAGAACACTCATGGGGAGGACTCATGGTACTCATAGAGGGTGAGTAGGACACAGAATGCTCTCAGGGTTGGAGAGGACTCTCAGGGTGCTCAGGGGGACTGGGGTCACAGGGCCACAGGGAAGAGAGAGGACTAGGGTGGTCATCGGTCATGGGGAGGACTCAGGGTGATCACAGGACACTCCCCAGTCTCCTCCAGCTCTGTCACCCCAGTATGTGCATCAGCCTTTGTGGCTGACATGGAGACACGTGGTTCTTGTAAGCGGGCATAGGAAGGACAAAACGGGCAGTTGTGTCAGGTGGGGAAGCTGGGGAAAGACATGGGAGGTGCCCAGTGGGCTCAGGGACAGGGAGTTGGGGCTTTCTCCAAGAGCGTCCTGCCATGCACTGCACCATATGCCCCCAGGACCCACAGCCCCACCCAAGGACGCTTTATGCGGGGGTCCCCTCACTCCCTGCCCCTGCAGCCCCTCACTCATCTTTCATTCAGGGGCTTGGTTGGCTCGTCCCCCACCACTGCCCATTCCTTTCCCTTCTCTGGACACATGCACCCCTTCCTTGAGGCAGTCACAGGGACAGACAGACCCAGCCAGGGGCTCCATCCTGACTGCCCACCCCCACCACACCCCAACCTGCTCCCAGAGCTGCATGCCACCCCACAATTCTGGAAAGCTCTCTGACCCACCCCAAGGGGAAGACCGTCTAGACCAGGCTGTCTGCATGGAAACGTGATGTGTTCGTGCACTTCTCAATGTGCCTGTGGGCACATTTCAGTGGGAAATGGCTGTGGTGAGGTATTGATCTTTCCTTGAGTCAAACAGGACCAAATAAGTGGCCCTTCAGCATATCACCTGCGACAAATAATGAGTGAAGGCTTTGAAATGGGCACATTTTCTCCATAGGCACTTCCCCACCTCAACAGGCCACCTGTGCAGTGTCCGGGTCACAGGCACCTACTTGCTCCCAGGCTGGACAGCACAGGCCTAGAAAGAGGGCCACTGACCTCTCGGTGATGATACTGGGGTTCACAGTGACTACGTCTGTCTTGACCCCCACGTCCATGGTGTACTTCTCTGAGATGGGGGGCAGGTTACACCTGCAAAAAAGAAGGAGGTCGCACAAGGAGAATGGGGGGAGGGCGGGGACAAGATTTCAGTTGCTGTCCATGGTGCTGGGGAGTGGGTGAGGGGAGGCTCAGGAAAGAGGGGTGAAAGAGTGCAGAGGGCAGACCATAAGGGGGCCTTCCAGTTGGGCTATGGGGCAGGGAGCAGACTGATTCTCTGGTCTTGCTGAAGCTTCAAGATGAGGGGGCAAAGGGACCGCCCTCTGCAGTGACAAGTCCCAATGGTCCCTGGGCCCCTGGGCAGGACAGGTCAGGGCTTGGAAACTGGAGCTTTCTTCGAGAAAGCAGGAAGGGCCCAGAAGCCATGGGAGGCAGAAAGTCAGCCACAGCAGTGGACCCATACAACGCCTCACATGCTGAGCCCCCAGGGAAGGAACAGGAACGGCCCCCAATCAAGTCCTCGTCTCCCTCCCCCATATATGATTGTGTCCCCTAAACTGGCAAAGGGACATGCCCAGGTAGTGAAGGGAAGGATCCCGGGAAGCAGGTCCCCAGGGGCTACCCAGGTGGGTGACAGGGAGGGGGTGTATCCACGGGGTCCATGAACACAGTTGGAACAGCAAGACACTCCCTGTGGGCTTTGAAGAGGCCAAGCCCAGGAAGGCCTGCAGAAAAGTCCAAGGAATGGACCCCTCCCCCTAAAAACCCCAGGCAGCAAAGCACCTCTGGGACCCCTGGTTTGAGTCAAAGGAACCCCACTGTGGACTGGAAAAGGGAAAGGGGATGAATGTGTTTGTTGGTTTCCCAGCAGTGCCCAGACAACAGTGCGTGGTTCAGGGATACATCTGCTGGGGATGGACCCATGGAGCGGGGTGGGGAGGTGGGGCTGGGATGGGGAAGGGTTCCCCTGTCCAGGCTGAGACTCAGGAAATACTAAGGGCCCTGAAGAGTGACTGGCTTATAGATACTTGCTCTGTGCAGGGCACAAATGGTCTATGTGTGCAGGGAACATGACAGAAGCAAGCAATGAGGAACGGTGAAGACGGGTGTTCAGTGGGGCATGTGGAGGGTGGGCAACCCGGTCAGGGTCAGCCCCTGGGGAAAATGATGCAAGGTTTGAGGGACAAGCACTTCTGGGTGCTGGAGCACGGCATACATGGGGGCAAGTGTGGCAGTGAGGGCAGAGAGAAAGCAGGGGCCACCCAGGAGGAGCCATGAAGGACTGTCCTTGTGTAGGGGAAGCCACCTGGGGCTTTGTAACAATGAACACATACATTGGGGCAAGCTGGGGGTAGCTCCCCTTACTCCAGCCCCCTCGCCATGCCCAGGACAGGCTGAACAGCATCTCTGCACAGGGAGGGTACTGGACAGGCGTTTGGGTCAGTGAATGGGCCACTATGATGGCCACGGGTCAGGGCCCGGCCAGGCAGCTGAGGAGAGTTTGTTCCTCCAGCCACAAGCAGGTGGTGAGAGCAGAGCTCAGGACTCTGATGGCTGCACAACTATCCCCTGGCCTGACGCTCCCACATGGACACGCAGACACTGCCCCAGCTCCCCAGCTCCCACAGGAGGAAGCGGGGGCCCAGAGCGGTGGCCACAGACCCACTGCTTCATGAAAGGCAAAGATGAATCCATGACCTAAGAGGGGCTCCTGGGGTCCCAGCCTGTGTCAGTGTCCCCAGGGCCAGTCCACTGGGTCATTCACTGCCCACTGCCAGGGCAGGGGTGTGGGGAGGGGACAGCAGAGGCATCCTGGGCTCCTCAGCAAAGGGCAGGTGCCTCTTGCTCGAAGCGTGGCCTCCACGACCCATGGTTTGCCCTAGCTGGGCCATTCCCACTCCCAAGAGAGACATTTCTGTCCCCCACCCCACTGCCCCTTCCCACGGCTCTGCCCCCAGGAGTGGGGCCTAGAAGATGCTCCAGTAAATGCATGTGCTGGGGAGTGGAGGTGGGGGATGGAAACGGTCCAAGCCCCGCCCCCCAGAGCGGCAGGAGGGACCCCAGGAACCCTCCAGTCAGGTAGAGAGGCCCCCCACCAGTCCCTTCAAGAAAGCAGCTTCCAAGCATGAAAACTTGTAACTATCTCACGGTGATTCAATAAAATTTAAAAAAAATAAAAAGAAAGAAAGAAGCCTCCTTCCATGGAGGGCAAGTTCACACCTCTCACCTGCTCCAGCACCCCAAAATCCTTGTTTCCTTCAGCTCATCCTTCAACCCATCTCCTCTCCCCTCATGGATCTGAGGGTCCCCAAAGAGAGGGGACATGTGCTTAGCATAAGGAAGAGGAAACAGCAGGAGGGACTTGGGCTTGACTATAACCAGGGACATAATGACAACTGGGGCTAGCAGCAGGTTACTCTGGGTTCAAGCCGGGACACCCGAGAGGGGAGAACTTTTGTGGGGCCAGAGGGTGGGGAGGTGGCTCGGAGAACCTTACCAATGCCCAGACAGCCCCCAGGATCCTCAGTGCTCATGTATCCGTGGTGCCCACTGCACAGATGTGGAGACTGAGGCCCAAAGAAAGGTGGGACACAAGCCCAAGCACTCATGGGGGTGGAGAATGGGGGTGACCATCTAACGGGCAGGGCAGAAGTGTGGAGGGCAGGCCCGTTACCGGAAGACGAAGTCCGCACTGTCGATCTCCCGCCCGCAGCGGCTGCTCTTCAGGATGCCCCCGTTGCCCACCACGGCACACTTCTTAAACTGGGAGCGGTAGTACGGCATGTCCTGGGGAGACACATGCATAAGGGGCCACCTTACACCCCTGGCAGCTCTCCCTTTGTTCCCACATCCCCCCTGACCAAGAGAGGTGGGAGCAAGGGGGTCCTGGCTGCTACAGAGAGAAAGAAGCTGGGTTGGGCACTTGCCCAGATCCTCATAGGCAGGCCCAGAGCTGCCGGCTTCCAGAAAGGAGACAGGGTGACTCTGGGACCTGGACCCTGGGTTTCCTGGTGCTGCCAGCTTGGCCTCTGCACATTGTGGAACAGTCTGTGATGCTGGATACACATGTGCTGTGGGGACGGGGGGGAGGCAACGGCGGCAGAGGTTGTGGGTGCAGGGAGGAACATCCAGGTACCAGGTACCCTGTACATTTCAGGTGAGCCTCATATTTGCCCTATTCTGGGCGAAGGACTGTATGATCTGGGACATGTGTGAGGCCTTAGGTACAATAGAGACACAGGCTGAGGTCACGGGCTGAGCAAGACTCAGAGGGATCCGCAAGAGGTCACGTCCTGGAGACTCTTCAGGAAGGGAAAGCACTCCCGAGCACAAGGTGCAGGGGGAAGGGGGTGTCAGAACTCTACCTAGAATACTGCAAACGATCACCTCACTTTTCTGTGGGAAGCCACATTCAGAGGTATTGGGGGCTACAACCAACTCAGTGTTCAGGGGACCAGGTGGTGCCAGCAATCAACCCAGGCATCTTGCATGTCAAGCACATGCTCTCCAGTCCATCATCTCACTGTGACCTTGTCACATCAGGGCTGGCTGCCCCTCAAAACTCCCTCCCACACTTGTTTGGGGTCCCAGGTGAGGCAGCAGGAAGACGTGATTGCTAACCCACACATGAAACCTCCCTGCACTGTTCCCTGGCATCCCTGCTTTGAGTCCTAGTCCTTCCCTTCATCTTGCAGAGAGAGGGAGCCCCCAACCCCCACAACCCAGCACCAGTAAGAGCACAGAGCTGGAGGCATGTGTCAGTCATCCATCCCCTTAGTTTGCCTAGACTGGGGTCTTTGCACTGGAAGCAAGTCCACCAAGATTGGAGGCTGGAGTTAAAATAAAGCAAAGGTAAACCGAGGTATTGAACCCATAATGAAGTGAGCAAACCATGGACAATTTTCTTGCAATCTTGACAACTCTGTTTTATACAATTTGCTCTGGGTTCAAGTTTTCTTGTTCATATAAGGAGAATATAGAGCATTTCCTGCACTTCTGTTCTCTGCTCAGCCTCTGATGCTGGAGACCAGCAGCTCTTTGCCGTGGGGTTGGCTCAGCAGTGTCTGTCCATGGGCCGTGTGGGGTCAAGAGCAACTCCTGTCACAATAGCCAAAACTGTACCCAAGTGTGCCCCATAGAACAGTGTGTGTCTCAGTAAGAAGATAGTGTTGTTAGCATTGGATGTGCCTGTCCCCTCTGTCTCAGACACCCACATATCTGCTGGGCAGCTTTTCTCCCAACACCACCTCCTGCCAGATCTGCCTAAGGATGGCCCATCATCACTGTGTAACTCAGAGGCTGGCCCCAGGGGTCTGGTGGAAAACTCAACTGCACAAGGTCATCAGGAGTCAGGAGCTTCTGCAGGACATGATATAGCTGTCTCTGGGCAACATCCTCAAATAGTCCTCCTTCCCTAGAGGGATGGTCCAGGGAACCATGAGGGGTGGGATGGGAAAAGTAGCACTGTGACTTTTATCATGAAGGGAAGAAACCAATTCTTCCTCCAGAGATCAGCAAAGGCTTTTCATGTTAGTTGCTAGTATTTGTCAATCATCTCTCCATCAAGACTACCCAGCTACTTGCTGAAAATGCTCCATTCATACTATGCAGCTGTTAGGAAAAATGAAGTTATGAAATTTGCCTATAAGCGGATGGACATGGAGATTATCATGCTAAGTGAAATGAGTCAGAAAGAGAGGAACAAATATAGAATGACTGCACTCATTTGTGGAATATAAAATAACATAATATGAGACTGACACCCAAGGACAGTAGACACAGGGCTAGGAATATTGTTCCATGGTTAGAAGCCTGCCTCGTGAGCTTGGGAAGAAGGCAGCTGGAATAGAGAGGGGATCACTAAGCCAATTATGGTTGGAGGAATCGTTCGGGATGAAAGATGTGTGCCAAAAGTAGATAGATAAAGGACCAAACATGACAGCCTCTCAGTATCTATAATGCAAAACATAATGCCCAAAAGGAGAGAGTATAGGGGAAATTGTCTGCCATCAAGGCAAGGGGAGAATTGGAAAGGGGGTGTAATACTGGGGACATTGGTGGTAGAGAATGTGCACTGGTGGAGGGATGGGTATTCGATCACTGAATGACTGAAACTCAAACATGAACATTTTGTAACTATCTCACTGTGATTCAATATTTTTAAAAAAGAATATAATGCAAAAAAAGATGAAAATGCTCCATTCCATAACTACAGAATCTTCCAAGTAGGGTGTTTGTTAGAATAGACCAAGGAGGTCTATTTATTAGAAACTAAAAGAAATAGTTACTTGAGGGGAAATACTTGTAGGTGATGCGCTCTAATTAAGAGGGTGGTAAATCTTGGCTCACAGCCACATCTGACCCAATCCATTTTCCTAACAGCACACAACTGAGAACACATTTGGTTTTGTTTTCCTAAATTATTATGTGCACATATTGGCTTATTTGTTCATTATATTTCCCAAGTAGAATATGAGCTATCTAAGACTAAGTACCTTGTCTACTCATTCACCCTGTATGCCTCACTCCTAAAACTGTGTCTGGTATGTAGGAATAACACAGTAAGTACTTTTGAACAAATAAATGAATGTATGCTGAAAAACAGAGGGTATGATGGGTGGGTGAGTGGTTGGATCTACTGATGGATGGGTAGGTTGATGGATCTATAGATGGATGGATGGATGGATGGATGGACAGTTGGACTGATGAATGAGTGGGTGGATAGATGATAGATGGTTAGGTGGGTGGATGGGTAGGTGGATTGACAGATGAACTGATGAATAAGTAGGTGGTTAGGTGGGTTTGTGGGTAAATGGACAGCTAGATAAATGGTAGATGCATGAAAGGACGAATGGATTGGTGTATGAGTGGTGGATGGATGGATAGCTAGATAAATAGTAGATGCATGAATGGATGGACAGTTAGATACATAGGATATTTGGGTAGGTGAGTGAGTAGAGAGTTGGGGATTTTATATTTTTAAGTGATTAGAAAACAATCAAGACTTTTAGGACATAAAATTCAGAGCTAGAGTGGTAAGACAGTGGGTAGGGCACTTGTCTTGCACACAGCTGACCTAGATTGGATCCCCAGCCTCCCATATGGTTCCCCAAGACCACCAGAAGTGATCCCTGAGCATCGCAGAGTGTCGCCCATAAACAAAACCCAGAAGTTTATATAAAATTCAAATCCCGGCTGGAGCGATAGCAGTGGCAGTGCGTTTGCCTTGTACACGGCCGACCTGGACGACCCAGGTTTGATTCCTCCTCCCCTCTTGTAGAGCTCGGCAAACTACCAAGAGTATCTTGCCCGCATGGCAAAGCCTGGCAAGCTACCCGTGATGTATTCGATATGCCAAACACAGTAACAATTGTCACAATGGAGACATTACTGGGCCTGCTCGAGCAAATCGATGAACAACGGGAGGACAGTGACAGTGTCTAACAGAACCTAACATGGCACTGGAAGCTGCCTCACTGGCTCATGAATTCAAGATCTCTGGCTACTTTCACACTCGAACAACAGAGGTGAGTAATTGTGACAGGTGCCATATGGCTTGCAGAGCCAGAAATATTTGTTATCCAGCCTTTTCTAGACAACAGTTGGCAAGCCTGCCTCCAACTCCCTAGATCTTGGTTCTGGACCCACAGCCCTCCTTGAACCCATATGTCCCGACCAACCTGGGCGGCACTGATGGGGGTTTCACCTGTGTGAGACGCATGCTCACCTGCTGCCTCTGGCCTCATATTCCAGGCAGCTCCCACCTTATTCTCCTCTGGCACTGTGAGGTGGGGTAGTGGCTCGTTGGACACCTCTCCACCTTCAGCTCCTCCCCAGCATTCCCCATCTGACCCCTTAAAGCTCAGTTATGCCAATACTCTCCAGTGAGTAACAGAGAAAGGGAAGCCTTGGGTTTCTCCCACAATTTAGAGCTTCAAATTTCATGCTGAAAAACCTAGGCAGGCCTCCACTGAGTATTTCTACAAACTGACAGCGCTGAGCTCCCCTCCCCACACCTGACCCCCATGCCCAACCTTCTCTGAGCGGTGGCTTTGAGCTTGTCCTCCGGAACCTCCTATTTAGAAGGTGGCACAGGGATCAACTGCCAAGCACAGCCTCAGGGACCCTCCCTGGGAGTCTGTGCAGCCAAAAGCACAGGGGTGAAGTCTGAGGTAAGGTGGTAAGTATGGGGAGCACTTGCCCTAAGGACCTCACAACCAGAAACCACCATGGTCCACCTCATGGTATATTTTAGGACTGGGTGGAAGGAAACCTTTTTTCTGCCAAGGGTCATATGGTGATTTATAACCACCCACAGATCTTACAATACATGTAGGTGGGCCACAGCCAACCATACGTGAAGCAAGTGTGTCAGGGTGAGACCACAACATTTTCTTTAGGGGTCACACCCAGAGATGCTTAGGGCTACTCTAGGTTCTGTGTTCAGGGTTCACTCCTGGTGGTGCTTAGGGGACCATATGAGGTGTTGGATTAAAACAGGGTCACAAGCAAAAGAAGCACCCTGGCTCCTGGATTGTCTCTCTGGCCCCTGACCATAAGATTTTTCCGATGGAGGGGACAGTCCCACCCATTTTAGGTGAAAGGAATAAAGAAAATATCTGTGTTACTTAAACCTCTGATACTTAGATGTTCCATTAGGAGGAGACATGCCTATTTCTAGTGCACATGCCAGCTTCAGAGACAGGGAGACAGAGACTGTGGGACAAGTGACCACCCAAGTCTTCCCTGTACCACATCAGACTTCCGGTACCTTGCTTTATACTGGTTTATGATTTCTAGGGTCTTGCTCTCCGGTATCCCTGGGGTAGAAGATCAATGCTTCATTATTTTCCAGACATCCCCAGGATGGCTTTTGCAGGCCAGGCAAGAATGGAAACTGGCAACCACAGAACCAGAAATGGCAACTACAGAACCAGAAATGCCAACCACAGAACCGGAAATGACAACCACAGAACAGGAAATGGACAACCACCTCCTCTCCGGAAGTTATTGAAATCACAGCCACACCGCTGTCACCGAGAGGACCCCAGAAGCCCCAGAGGGTGCTGCACTCAGCCTGAGAGATGGTGCCTACTGCTCTGGCTGCTCATCCAGGCCATACTGGCCCCTGCTCTTGCCCTGGCTCTCCAGCCCCCAGACGAACCTTGGGGAACATGCGAAAGATCTCCTGGTTGATGTGGAAGATGCCACTGGTATCCACCTCATACTTGAGTTTCGTCCCCAGGGGTGTGTTCTTCTGTGTGGTGAAGAGGAAGGATGGGGCATTGCAGCACCTGGACAGCGTGGACCTGCCAGCAGAGGACAGAACAGGGACAGGCTGATGACGCAAGGCAGAGCCCAGCCCCTGGAACAACAAAGGGCTTATAGTAGCTGGAGGAGACAGGGAGCTCTGTCCTCCCACCCGACACCCATGCCTCCCATCATGGTGACCCAGCTGCCCGAGCCCCCTCCCCCACTCCTGCAGCTCTGCTTCCCTCCAAAAATACCCCAGCCCCGCTCATGCCCTCAGACCACATTGGTCTCTCGGGGCCCAGAACAGCAGGACGCCCCCTACTGCTTCACCATCTGCTGATCTCAGTCTGCCACAGCGGAAGGCCCTGTGTGCGGGGACGCCCCTTCCCTAGATCCCACACACAGGCTCAACAACCACAAAGGTAAAGGGAAGGGGAGAGAGAGAGAGGAAAAGGCCTAACTACCCCACCCCCGGGTTGCTGAAACCTGGGTTATATAGGTGTTCCCAAGTTTCCCCTAACTCAGATCTAGCTGCAATGAATAAATATCCCAACAAAAGGGGTGTTAGAGGCAGAGAGGCCTGTAGATTCGCCGTCAATCAGGAGAATGTTAAGATAGGCATTGCTGCCCTGCAGGCACACACTCTGCTAATTTTGGTCAGAGCTGGAGTAGAATAAGATCTCCCAGGGAGCTGACCTGCAGGGAGGGGGCAGGAGCCCATGCTGAGTCAGAGCATTTCCCTGGGGAAGAGAAGAAGGAAGTGACACAGGGGAAGAGGTTCGAGACCTGGGCCAGTGGGGCCCTGCAGCCCGTCACAGTCCTGGAAGCAACGGGGCGAGCAATTGAGGACATGCAGACCAGCATCGGTCACGGGGTCCAGCCAGCCCAGGTGCTGAAACATGGCCTGCCCTGGGCCCAATCAGGGCCAGTGCCAGGGAGAAGGATGGGGAAAGGAGGCATGGGGGACAGTGGAGAGAAGTGTGGGCGACCCTGGGAGGTCAGGGAAGGGCAGGTACTTGAAGTGGTTGGCTTCCGAGATGTTCATGGCCCATTTGCACATCTGCAGGCTCCGCCACCTGTCGAACAGCTCCGACTGCTTCACCCTTGGGGAGTGGAAAACAGACCATGTGAGAGGTCAGACCCAGACACATGTCTCACCCGCACCCTGCTGCCAGACCCACGGCCACTCCTTGGTGCTCCCTGCATTTTCCTCTTCACTGGATACCCTTGGCCTCAGCAGCCCTGGTTGTTTCCTGGAGACGGCTCTCCTGCCAGCACCCAACTCTAAAGCCACACCCTAAGCCACCTGGTGACCAAATAGCTGCCTGCCCTGCTCCAGGTGGCCAGTGACAGGAGTCAGATAATAAGGGGCAGTGCCAGGCCGCACAGATATTATTGAAATTTGCCAGTCCTACACCTGCCTACCCTGCCTGACCCAACCCTCCCACAGAGGCCTGCAGATGGGGCTGGACAGACAGTTCACTAAGTTGGAACTTGAGGCTCAGGTTCAGTCCTCAGCACTGAGTCACTTGTGCACCCCCCCCCCATCCCAACTGAAAACAGCAGCAACAAACCATAATGCCTAAAATGAGAGAAAAAGGGGCTGGAGTGATAGCACAGTGGGTAGGGCGTTTGCCTGCACACGACTGAGCCAGGTTCGATTCCCAGAATCCCATATGGTTCCCCGAGCACCACCAGGAGTAATTCCTGAATGCAGAGCCAGGAGTAACCCCTGAGCATCACAGGGTGTGATCCAAAAATTAAAAAATAAATAAAATTTTAAAAAATAAAATAAAATGAGAGAGAGAGGTGTCTTTCATAGAGGCAGGCTTGGTAGAGATGGTTTGGGGGTATGGGAGATGGAAACTGGGGACATTGGTGCTGGGGAATTACACTAGTGGAGGGATGAGTGTTGGAACATTGCATGACTGAAACCCAGTCACGAACAGCTTTGTAATACTCTATCTCACGGTGATTCAATAAATTTTTTTTTAAAAATTTAAGAAAAAAGAAAACAGTAGCAGCAACAAAACCATACTAGAGGTGTCCCCCAGGCTTCCTGGTGCTCCTGTGTGGCCATCCCCAGTGAGATGTGTGGCCTGTTTGTGAGGGGCCAGGAATAAGCACCTTCTCCTCCTGACCATCATTTCTGTGTCTATATGCCTTAGCTTAGTTGTGTTCCTTTAGTTTTTCAGTCACACTCAGCAGTGCACAGGGATTACTCTTTGCTCTATGCTCAGGGATCATTCTTGGTGATGCTCAGGGGACCATATGGGATGCCGAGGATTGAACTCTGGTTGGCCACATGCGAGGCAAGTGCCCTACCTGGCGTACTATAGTTCTGGTCCCTGCTATCCCTTGTTAACGCAAATAAACCCTGGGCATATTTTCGAACATTCCTGCTACCTGCTCACCCCCAGAAACCTGAAGAGTTCTCCCAGAAAAAGCATTGGCAGCTTCCCAGCACTACATGGGCCTGTGATCACCCCACTTCCTTGGCATACAGGAGGGTTCACAATAAACCCATATCTTTGCTCTCTGTATAGGGCAGATCATAGTTTCTGGGGCAGGGGATGGTGAAACATGCATCTGTGAGGCTTGGCGCCACGTGGGATTCAACATTCCCTGTGTGAGAGCTCTCAAAGTACCCTCAGGAAAAGGACTGGCCACACCAATCTCCTTCTCCCTCTGATGGAGCACAACAACCAAAAAAAGTTCGTTCTTAAGTTGCCAATTTCCAAGTCTCTACACTGTCTCGATGCAATGGCCCAGTTTCTTAGAACAGAACCTGCGAAATGTGGGACTGGATAAACATCCAGGAGTCAATAAATGAGCCCAATCCAGTGACACTAGGTGAATGTTCGCCTCCACAGGGCCCTCACCTCCTTCTCATGGTGCCTTATCCTTGTTTCAGGGCCAGCCCTGAGCACTGCACCCTTATCCCAAGCTATCCCCTCTCTCCCACTCCCTACCCCCGCCCCCAGCCCACATACACAGACTTAGCAGCAGCTCGAATGCACTCCCCTTTTTCCTCAGTAACTGCCTTTCCAATCTTTGGAGGGGTATAGTTTGGGGGCCACATCAGCAGTGCTCAGGGACTATTCCTGGCTCTGTGCTCAAGATTGATCCCCAGCATTGCTCAGGGCTGAGTGTACGATGCTGAGGATTCAAAAGAGGGTCCTGGCCACCGCAGTCATGCAGAAGGCCAGTGTCTGGCTTCCCATACTATTTTTTGCCCCTGCTGCTTTCAGGCGCTCTCTCTCTCTCTCTCTCTCTCTCTCTCTCTCTCTCTCTCTCTCTCTCTCTCTCTCTCTTTTAGCACAGTGGTAGGGCATTTGCCTTGCACACAACCAGCCCGGCCGAGCCAGGTTCAATTCCTCCACCACTCTCGGAGAACCTGACAAGCTACCGAGAGTATCTCGCCTGCACAGTAAAGGCTGGCAAGCTACCTGTGACATATTCAATATGCCAAACACAGTAACAACAAGTCTCAAAATGGAGACGTTACACTGGGCCTGCTCGAGCAAAATCGATGAACAATGGGAGGACAGTGTTCATTTGTTTGTTTTGCTTTTTGGGTCACACCTGGCAATGCTCAGGGGTTACTCCTGGCTTTGCGCTCAGGAATTACTCCTGGCAGTGCTCAGGGGACCATACGGGATGCTGGGAATTGAACCCAGGTCAGCCGTGTGCAAGACAAAAGCCCAACGCACTGTGCTATGGCTCCAACCCCCTCCCCCCCTCCGGCTCTTGTGGCAAAGAAATGAGGCATCAGCCACTGATCATTGTGGAGGACCACTCATGGAGGCCATCAGCTCCATTTGACCATGGGCCGGGGACTCACGGTGGAGCCAGTGGTTTCCCACTGGTAAGATACAGGAACACCACATCCTCGCAGAGTGCCAAATCTATGCCATCCCCCCACCTTCCAACGGCAGCCTAAGTGAGTGGTGTTCAACCACTGGTCTGTGGAACAGGACGGTTCCGGGGGTGCAGAAAGGCTGAAAACTGCTGTCTCACCACCTGGTTGTAATTGTCGGTCTGTAAACTGCATGCAGGAGGCAGAGTATGGGTGTGACCAGGTTGAAGAACGTGGGTCTAAGAGAGAGGACAACACTGGATCCTGAGCCCATGGGTTGTGGCACAGCCCCTGTGCCTGCTTGGCAGGGGAACTGGCAGCCAAGTGCCCATGCCCTTGCCCTGGGTCACAACCTGTGTCACTTTGAATACATCACAGCAAGCCTCAGTCTTCTCATCGGGAAAGTGGAATTGATCATAACCCTGCCAGCCCATCACAAGGTAATTTTCCAAAGCATTATATAGAGTCAGAGCAAACCCCATCAACATTCCAATGACAGTCTTCAAAGGATATCCCATTTACATAGAATCTGGAACAGAGAGAGCACTGCCTTGCATGTGGCCAACCCTAGTTAGATCTCTGATATCACAGCATTCCCCAAGTATCCCTGGGCAGAGGATGGAGGGGCGGGGGTCGGGAGGATAGTATGGTCTGGGTAATCTCTGGGACTGCAGGGCCCAAGCAGTACCTCATTGCATTGAACCACCTTCCAGAAGGCAAGAATTGCCGGGAGACACCCCAAACTCCCCAAACTCTCCAGCACTGCTTGGGAGATCCTCCAATAAATAAAAACAAAAATACAGAGTCAGCCATCATAGGCAGGGCAACTAAAAATAGCTGTACCTCTCAGCCCAGGAAAAATGGGAAGGTGTGGTGTGTAGGGGAGCTGAAAAAGCAGGTATGAGCTTGTGGCATGTAAGTGGTGGGTAAACGAAGATCAAAGAGCCTGCATGCATTGCTGAGAGTCAGAAGGAAAGACCAGGAGAAGCAGCCAGAGCCCCAGGGAGCAGGGCTGGGGAAGAGGGGTGGGGAACAGAACATTTCTGTATCTGTGAAAAGTCAGACACAAAAATCTCTGTTTAAGTGCAATCAGGAGACTAAAAATGTGTGTCCTTGCATGGCACATCAGCATAGCAAAGACAGCCCGAGCACACCTGGCATTTCCTGTGGGAAGTGGGCTTCCCAGCCCACACAGAAGGAAGAAGGGTCCTCCTGAAGCTTGATGGGGTGGCCGACCTTGGGGAAGAGCAGTTCCCACGCCCCGTGTCCCTCCCCCCCCACCCCACACACACAAGGCATGCAGTTCCCGTAGCCCTTCTCATTGCATCGGAACAAACGAATTTTGCTTGTGGAATAACGGATGGCTCTTTGCTTGTGGCCCACACTGTCACCAGATTTTTTTTCTAGCCTGGTGCTAGAGATGGGAACAAATAAGAAGGAGGTGATAATGATGACCTCATTTGCCTCCTTTCTCCTCCTTTTCTGCCATGTTGGCTGTTTCCAGGTCTCGTCTGCGTCCTCCAGCCACTCATTCACTCAACAGACTGCTCTAGGCCAGTGCAGGGTCAGAGTCAAGGGCTCCAATTCTCCAGAGCACAAAGGACACCCCAGTCTGAGGAATCCTGTCCACAGGGCCTCTCTGGTACCCCACCTCTCTCTCTCGGTCTCAGAACTGGACCCAGGGTATGGATCCCCATCCCAGAAAAAAGGGGAAGTTGAGGCAGGGAAGGCTTGGGAAGAGAAAGAGGCTCTGAACAGTAATACAGAGGCTCAACCAGCACCAACCAGCCCAGTACATCCTCAATGACTTTAGTAACACCATTATGACATAAACAATGATCACAAATTGACTCTTATTGATCTAAATGTTGATAATTCTATTTGTCTTTGTGTTGTAACAAACAATATGAAGCAAATTTGCTAGTGCCTGCAAGGTGCGGGTAGGAAAGGTGATGGGTAGGAAACTAGGGCCATGGGTGGAGGGAGGGACTGGTGGTGAGACTGCTGGCTGGACAATTGATGCCTGAAACAACTGTATTATGAACAACTTGATAAATGACAGTATCATAATTGAAAATGAAAGAGAAAGAGGCTCTGGGGCAGGAAGAGAAGGAGAAGGGAAGGAAGAGGAAGGAAAGGGAGAGGAAGGGAAGGGAAGGGAAGGGAAGGGAAGGGAAGGGAAGGGAAGGGAAGGGAAGGGAAGGGAAGGGAAGGGAAGGGAAGGGAAGGGAAGGGAAGGGAAGG